TGACCCGTTAAAAAATACTAACATTTGTTTCCCGGGGATTAATTTTACATGCGCAAAAAGCAGCAAACAACAGAACATGAGGATTCACATGGTCTTCATATACGCACCTGCAGCGCTTCTGCGAGCGGTAGCCTATAGAATTGTCACTACCGAAACAGTCACTACCGAAACATTTGGTGGAGTTTTGGTAATGACATCTTTGTTTTTTTTTTTTTGGGGGTTATCCCATAGAATTGTCACTACCGAAACCGTCACTACCGAAACATTTGGTGGAGTTTTGGTAATGACATCTTTGTTTTTTTTTTTTTGGGGGTTATCCCATAGAATTGTCACTACCGAAACCGTCACTACCGAAACATTTGGTGGAGTTTTGGTAATGACATCTTTGTTTTTTTTTTTTTGGGGGTTATCCCATAGAATTGTCACTACCGAAACCGTCACTACCGAAACATTTGGTGGAGTTTTGGTAATGACATCTTTGTTTTTTTTTTTGGGTGTTATCCCATAGAATTGTCACTACCGAAACCGTCACTACCGAAACATTTGGTGGAGTTTTGGTAATGACATCTTTGTGTTTTTTTTTGGGGTGTTATCCCATAGAATTGTCACTACTGAAACAGTCACTACCGAAACATTTGGTGGAGTTTTGGTAATGACATCTTTGTGTTTTTTTTTGGGGTGTTATCCCATAGAATTGTCACTACTGAAACAGTCACTACCGAAACATTTGGTGGAGTTTTGGTAATGACATCTTTGTGTTTTTTTTTGGGGTGTTATCCCATAGAATTGTCACTACCGAAACAGTCACTACTGAAACATGTCATCATTGTTTCGGTAGTGACAAAAGGGAACACCTAATGCTCATATTTGGGGGAAATAAACAAAATTTTAGTACAGTTATGCAATTTTTTTTTTGTATTTTAGTATGTTTTAGTAGTATTTTAGTATGCGAGTTAAAATTCTGTAATGCGATGTGGTTGCTACCAAAGCATTACTGTCACTACCGAAAATGTGAGAAAAAGTGTGTGTATGTATATAAAAAACTTTCTTGGCTAGAAAGATAATTAGGGCATATGTGGCAAAAAAAAATAAAATAAACATTTTATACATTGAAACTTAAAAAAAAAAAAAAATCAGCAATAATCAGAATTTCAGAATCAAAACATAATCAGATTAATCAACTATTCTGCAATCTTTCTGATTACTTTTTCACTGAGCCTGTCGCATTCTGGGATTGCATTTTAAAAGATGCATGCAATTCATCTTGCAACAGCTTATGCACGAAGAGCGTGGTTATCTTTAAAATGTTATCTAGGTAGGCAGCTCATTAGGTTTTGGAACGGAACAACAGTCTTTTTTTTACGGCAGTGATGAACTTACCACAGTAGGCCTGAAGGGCGGCTCCACCTGTCGTTTCTCTAGTGCGTTCCAGTCCGTGTCTCTGAAGAACGCATGCTGTCGTATATTTCCTTTCACACCCAGCCTTCGCTCTGGTTCCCGGACAAATAGCTAGAACCATTCAGAAAACCCAGTTATAACCGATTGAGACCCACAAATCAGAGTAAAGCATTCTTCTATTTAACATTAACTCTGACATACCTTTACAAGAATGTCCCGTGCATCTCTAGTTAACCAGCGTGGGTAGCACGGGTCATCTGTGCGAATCGACTGAAACAGCTCTTCCTCGTCATGGCCATGAAATGGGGACTGGCCAATCAACATCTCATAAAGAAGGACACCAAATGACCACCAGTCTACAGAAGTCCCATATTTCTGCCCAAGCAGAATCTGTGAAACATACAGTGTACATTTGTATTTATTATTTTGTGCAATCATTTTTTACATGTAAACAATTAAAAATAATAATATATATATTAACTACAGTAAATGTGGTAGCGATCCTCACCTCAGGAGCAATATAGTCTGGTGTTCCACAGAAGGTGCACGTTCTAGCTTCTCCAGAAATGTTCTCTTTACACATTCCAAAATCGGCGATCTTGATGTGACCATCGATGTCTAGCAAAATGTTATCCAGCTTAAGATCTCTGTGGAGGCATAATATGCATATAAATATATGGCAATATTGAAATATCTGTCTATCAACACACTTTTAGCATATTCATATTATCACTATATTTCATATTTTATGCAATATAGTTTCCACAGTAGTGTATACCTGTACACAATGCCTTTAGAATGTAGAAACTGCAGCCCACAAACTATCTCAGCTGCATAGAACCTATCGACAGAGAGCATAGAGGAGGTGTAAGAGAGTGAAACCCAGAGAAAAGAAGAGTAGGCAGAGTCTCAGCTTTTAAAATGTGTTTGTGGGGGCTGCATATGAGTCTCACGTGGACCGTGGGAGGTCAAATCTGTGGCAGGCCTGGATGTGGAACATTAAGTCGCCCCCATTTAAGTACTCCATCACAAAGAAAAGATTTTCCTTTAGAGACCAATACAAAAACAGATCAGTGCAGTCCGGCCAAACAAAACCGCATTTCTTCAGTACGCGAGAGTGACTCAGTGTGTGTCATGGGGTGGGAGGAATGTCCAGAATCTTATATTGTAGTATTTCAGGGCCATTACTTAAATTCATAGGCCTTGAACAAAAGTTTATAAATATAATACTATTTTTATTATTTATTCACTATATACAGTATTATTACAGTATTACTATATACAATTCTGTCATTAATTACTCGCCCTCATGTTGTTCCAAATCCGTAAGACCTTTGTTCACTTTCAGAACACAAATTAAGATATTTGAGACCCTGGACCACAAAACCAGTCATAAGGGTCAATTTTTCGAAATTGAGATTTTTACACCTGTCCAGATTAAGTTCTTAGCAATGCACATTACTAATCAAAAATTAAGTTTTGATATATTTACAGTAGGAAATTTACAAAATATCTTCATGGAACATGATCTTTACTTAATATCCTAATGATTTTTGGCATAAAAGAAAAATCAACAATTTTAACCCATACAATGTATTTTTGGCTATTGCTACAAATATACCCCAGCGACTTAAGACTGCTTTTGTGGTCCAGGGTCACATTTATGATGAAATCCGAGAGCTTTCTGACTCTGCATAGACAGAAATGCAACTGAAACATTATATGGCCCATAAAGGTAGTAAGGACATCATTAAAATAGTCCATGTGACATCAGTGGTTCAACCATAATGTTATGAACACTTGTTTAAAAGCAGAGGAATGCACACTCATGCGTCTTGCTACTCTTGTGAAAGCGTGTCGAAGACTGACACGAAAGAGAAGAAATCGTCGAATAAAGTCATTATTTTTGTTTTCTTTGTGCACAAAAAGTATTCTAGTAGCTTCATAACATTACGGTTGAACCACTGATGTCACATGGACTATTTTAATGATGTCCTTACTATCTTTCTGGGCCTTGAACATTTCAGTTGCGTTGCTGTCTATGGAGGGTCAGAAAACTGTCAGATTTCAGGGAAAATATCGTAATCTGTGTTCTGAAGATGAACAAAGGTCCTATGGGTTTCGAACGACATAAGGACATTTTCATTTTTGGGCGAACTAACCCTTTAATAGCCCTTTCTTATTGCAGACCCTTACAAGAAGTTCAACCTAATAAAAACATTTTTTTAACCATAACCATGTTTTAAAAACAAAACAAGTTACATATCAAATATATAGCAAAATCTCTACTGATTGACATTTTCCTATATGTCATACTGCCCATCCCTAAGTGTGTCGGAGTGTATTACCTTGGTCTGGAAGGTGCAGTAGAGGTGTGTGAGGAAGGGGTGTTCCCAGGCCAGAGACAGCACTCTCCTCTCCACCATAGTGCATTCAACATCATCATCCATCAGAACAACATCTTTCTTCAGGGCCTTTACTGCAAAAAACTGCCCTGTGCCTTTCAGCTCAGCCAGGAATACCTACAACACATATGCACATAAGCAAGATTTATAGAGATTTACATGAGTATGCATCCAGAATGATGTTCATAAATGTAGTTTAATAGGCTGTTGTCTTGTTCTGCCTAATTCAGTTATGCCATATATAACAGCTGTCCATGAAAACTACCAAAGCTAGTTCCTTAAATTATTAAAAACATCCAAATTCATATCCAAATTGGCCCGGTATGCTCAGGACATAGTCTTGCAAACAGTTACCATGTTTAGTTTCAATATGGCAAAATTTTGCCAAGATTCTGTTTAATTTCCTTATTTGGCATCCTCACAATGGTTATTCGTTGCAGATTTGTTATTTATATCGGCTTGACCCATGGAATCAAAGGATGTCTCGTTTCTAGGCCAGTCATTTCAAACATTGGTAGGCTATATACTGTAGTTTAAATGGAAATTCACTGCTGTGATGTGTTTGCTGTGAGTTGAATACACTATTCTTACCTTTCCAAAGCTTCCCTTGCCCAGCATCTTATGTAGAGTAAAATTATCTAGGTTGAATTTGTGATGCTCTTTGCGTGGGGTGGCGTACAGGGGTTCAGACTGTTCAAGACTTGGCCTGCGGCCCTCAGCCGGAGTGTCCCATGAAATACCTTGATGCTCTGTAGGGAGGAACCAAGAATTAATCCATTAAATCAATCAATCAGTCATCAGTCAATCCAAAACCTAGTAAGCTTCTTGGCATAGCTAAATTTTAGGCACCATAAGCATGCTTCAGATGCAAAGGCTGTTGCAAATGGAAGATAATAAATGATAAATTATGCTTCATAAGTCATTCAGGCTATATGATAAGACTGTATCTCACATATCTTTATCAGATAGGTCAATTGCAGAATGCTCAGTTATGGTGGATTATGTCAGAGAATGTTACAGAAATTTACATCCATTACTGTAAAATATTGACAGAAAATAGTTCCATTTAATTAAAATTAAAAGTTTTACCCATTGTTTTTGGGTGCTATATAATTTTTGTGCTTATGACATTGTTAGCTTAGCATCATGCGAATGTCAGGTTTCACTGCAATCTACTGTTATTTTAGCTTTGAAGCCAGTTCAGTGTCTACTTCCTTTCAATCGCTACCTAGTTCCTTATAAGCTCGTTTCTGGTAATTTCTAGAGTGGGCATGTTCCGGTAAACTGAAAGAATTTTGATAATGTTTAAACTCAAGAAATGTCCAACTCCCAATGCAGCGTACTTAATACTGAACTTTGTAGCTGACTGAGACAGACTTCCTGCCTCTCTTTCTAAAGTAATTTGATCTAATTAAATTAATCTTTAGTTAGTAGAAAGTTCGGCCTTCAAATCTATTCAGAATTGTGAATATGTTATTTTTGCATGTTATATTTACCTTTGCGTGGTAGAGGTGGTGCAGGCGTGAGGGGTGATGTTGGTAAGTGGCCTGAAGGCTCTCTAATGACCCCTGCCTGACTTACGCCCACTGGACCCTCTCGACCAGCAATCTCATTATCCCGAGAGCTGCGAGCCTGCTATGGAAAGAAACGCCCACATCCGATCAGATTATACAACCTGCACCACATGATAATCTAGGTCATTCATGTCATGTGTACTATGTTGAGTTAGACAAAAAACTTACTCTATAGCATTGCTAGCATGTGGTCCTATTGTACATAACTGACATTTTTGTTTTATTTTGTATTGCATTGAGCTCAGATAACATTTTCATTCAGTATGGCGAATGGGTGTAAACAGATAGACCAGAAATTGTTATTCTACTTGAACTGGTCTGTTTTTCCCAATATTTGTGTGGTATTTCTTTTGTATGTTTATTAGAACATGACATTGTTAGCTTAGCAACATGCTAATAACGAACCCCATTGGAATAAAATGTGCATGACAAGTCTTTTGCACTATTAGTGTACTGGTTGAGTGAATGGATTGTTAAAGGCGTCATTTGATGTTGCTAAAAAGAACATTATTTTGTGTATTTGGTGTAATGAAATGTGTTTATGCAGTTTAAGGTTCAAAAAACACATTCTTTTCCACATACTGTACATTATTGTTTCTCCTCTATGCCCCGCCTTTCTGAAACGCGTCGATTTTTACAAAGCTCATCGGTCTGAAAAGCGAGGTGTGCTGTGATTGGCCAGCTATTCAGTGTGTTGTGATTGGCCGAATACTTCAAGCGTGTGACGGAAATGTTACGCCCCTTACCATACTGTGATGCCCTGTCCGGCCGGAGCGACGAGACAAAAACATTAAAACCCATTATAAACGAGGCATTTGTTGCATCCAGTGGGGAAATAATTTACGGATTATAATGACTTATACTGTCTTTTTACGTGTTGCGCCGCATAAACATAAAACCATGTCTGCATTTGTGATCAGAGAAATGACTAGGGCTGTGATGGTGGCAGATTTTTACCACCGCAGTGGTAATGGACCAACTACCACCGGTGGCGCGGTGTTGATATAAATATCTGTAGGCCTATATACAATTAATATTAATTATATATATATATATTAGTGGTGTCAAAATTAGCCCGTTAACGCAGGCGATTAATTTGTTCAGTTTAAAGCGTTAAAAATATTTAACACGGGTGGGGCTAGGGTTGGCCACCCCACTCACAACTGCTGCTTCTGTCACTTTTTCTCTTGACGACAAGAAGTGCTTTTATTCAGTCGCGGAACGACTGAGAATGGGAGACGTTTCAGATGCGCGCTACTCTTCACTTCACTTCAAGCGAGTCAAGCGAGTTCTGTGCTCGCAGCGCGTGCTCTTCAATTGCACGCACAAAGGCGCCGGCGCGCTGTAGCCTGTATCCTTTCATATCAAAGCGCGAAATAAACTACGTGCATGCAATGTCGTGGTCAGTTAAGTCATGAAGTTACCAAAAAGGCGATTAAAGCTGCCTTAAACTGTGCATGCATGTAATATATTTTATATGAGTCACATTTAAGAACATGTTTCTGAAATGGTTTTCATATAAATTTTAGGAGTCGCGGCAGTAGAGGCGGCGCAACTATAATGACATGTGAATAATCCCGCCCACTGTAAAGCGATACTAAACTGCAGTGGAAATGCAAACCGAGCCGAACCGAGCCGTGCCGTACCGTACCGAGCTGAGTCGTACCACACAGTGGAAAAGCGCCATATCACACCCGATTTAACTCGTCAGCTCGTGTTTATTTTAGCACTTCCGTCAGTGAATATGCAGCCTGCAAAACACTAAAATAAATATCAAAGAAATAATACAGTTAAAGGGGTGGTTCACTGGGCTTTTTCTAGGCTTGATTGTGTTTATGGGGTACAGTCTAACATGTGTTAATGCTTCGTTTTTTAAAAAACGCATTATTTTTCACATAATTTACCTTTATTCCACACCTCTCTGTCCCTTCTCTGAGAAACGGGCTGATCATTTCCTCCTTTTATGAAGCCCCTCCCTCAGAAATAGGCGATGGGCTCTGATTGGTTAGCTAGCCCAATGTGTTGTGATTGGCTAAACCGCCTCTAGTGTACGTCTAATGGTCCCGCCCCTCACCTCAGCTGACATGTGCTCCGGTTGTATTGTAAACAACGGCTTTGTTAATATCGCTTATCAGTTTGAGCCCGATTCAGAAGCAGAGGATATTATTGAAGAGGATCATGCAGAACCTGTGCAAGCACGGCTTTTAATGGTAGGCCTATGTTTTTTGTTTGTTGTTGTCTCATACTTTTAGATACGCTGTTATTTGTAAATGCTACTGCTTATGTTAGCTTTTAATATACAGTTTTATCCTGATTAACGCTTTAATACAGTAAGGCAACTGCACGTGCGTCCATGTTTAACGCTTCTCATAGCTATGTGAAAATAAGTGTATAATTGGAACAGTTCATTGTTGGAGGTGAGCTGAATGAGAGAGAGAGAGAGAGAGAGAGAGAGAGATGCAGAGCGTGTGCAGACCAGGGGGAATCGAGCAACAGTATTAAGAACCGCTGCTTTAGAACATTGATTTTGAAACTTATGAATCCATTAGAATCGTTAGAAGACAGAATCGCGATTCATATATGAATAGATTTTTATGTGCTCCTCTAGTTTTCTCTTCCTCTTCTCTAAAGCGTGGCCTCGCCCCCTTTGCTGCCTTTTCCCGAGGGTGGGGTTTATCTGGGTTTGTGATGTCACGAACCCGGGAAGTAATTTGTTGTAGTCCCTACCAGCCGTTTTTGTAGGCATTAAACTGCCAGAATAAAAAAAAAAACGATATCTCCGTTTGCATTGAACTTTCAGCTTTGTAACTTTGCAGATATTGTTTATGCTCAAACAGCAACATTAGGCACTAACTAACGTTAAAAAAGTGAACTCGCAATGAACCACCCCTTTAAACAAGAAAGTAGCCTAAATAAGAAAGTTAAATACACCCTGTCTACCAGACGCGAGCGGCGCGGCACGACAAAATACTGTACAACTCATTATAATCAGTGATGCTACACTGGATGCGGCACGACACGACATGACAAATCCCAGACAGTAAACTGCCTCATCCTATTTATGAGGTACTGACACAGAGTTCAAATGCCATGTGTAGACACTAGACCGACTCAACCTGTTGCGACGCAGCGGTGTCGCGTCCGGTGTAGACACTGTTCACTGTTCACCACCAAGCAAGTGCCGCATTAACTCCTCATCTGCACGCGCTCTCATTGAAATAGGAATCGTTTTGCCACATTTCTTGTTAACATCTTTCATTTATCGGTCTTGTTTGTATTTGGCCAGTTTGGAGAAAGCCTCACCAAACCTGACCAGCCAGGCGTTTGCGATTACGGGAACTTGTACAAACGCGGATGGGTGACATGAATGGTGATGGCTCCAGATCGGCGATGTAGTATTTGGTTTCCCAACAAGGTCCATCGCCCAAAAGAAAATTAATTTGCTGAATGCATAAACTGGATTTTCCTGCGCTCAAACCTGCCAATCTAAAGGAAACTCAGTGTATGGCGTTTGAGGTCATTTGTGAATTACCATAGACTTATAGTCTAAATAAAATAATTTGCAACTATTACTGTTATTACACTTGTATACAAAACTTCGTATTATGCTTGTTATAGAGTGCGTGATGTCACGTGCACTACCGCCGGTGGCAAACGACCACCGCGGTGACGCGGTTGTCACGGTGACCGTCACAGCCCTAATGGCAGCAGCAGCAATACTACAGCGAGAATAAAAGTTACGCCTTCTTTCTTTGCGTGAACATTTGGGCGGTGTTATGCAATTCATGTTAGAACGAGCCGTTTTAGGTAGGCGTGGTTGACTCTTAACTTTTATAAAGGTTCAACTTTGGATTTGAGACTTTAGTCTTTGCAACTTTACAGATCTTCTTTATGCACCAAGAGCTTGTAACACTCCAAAGAGAAAGGAAAAATTGAAATCGCATCATATGACTCCTTTAAAGAAATAGTTCAACAAATAATTAAAATTCTGTCATTTGCTCACCCTCAAGTTGTTCCAAACCTATAGGAGATTCTTTCTGTTTTGTTGAAAAGAAAAGACGATATTTTGAAGAATGTGGGTAACCAAACAGTTAATGGTTCCCACTGACTTAATTTGTATGGAAAAATAAAATACTATGGAAGTCAATGGGGACCAGAAACTTGGTTTGGTTATCCACATTCTTCAAAATATCTTCTTCTGTATTTAGCAAAAGAAAGTTATACAGGTTTGGAACAACATGATGACAGTATTTTATTTTTTGGGTGAACTATCCCTTAAATAAAATGGCTACCCATGAAGCTTGTAACCTACTCCAGTACTCAAGGGGGCAACAGAGTTACTTTCAAATGTTTGTGCCATTAAACCGATGTGCTGTTAGGTAGGTAAGCCAACTTGAACCCTTTGTAAAAACTGCCTAAAGAAATATTTTGCTTTCACGCAAAATTCCCGAACATGTGGATTCCTATCGAAATGACTGGATTTCATCCACTAAAATTTGCCAAACAACAGTAAATGGCATGACATTTGCTACATGCTTGTGTCAGTCTGCGTAGCATCTGTGGTTCATAATATGTGTGAGTTCCAACCTGTTGAGTGCTCTCAATCATAGCCAGGGCCTCTGCCATTAGCTTCTGGTTGACGCCACAAAGGTTTGCTACTTTCCTCTGACATTTATGGTGAACGTTCATGCCACACTCTGCAGTAAGAGAAAATGTTCAAAACATTAAACTGAAATGTATGTCTAACATTTTGAAAAAAATAAAACTATATAAAACATGATTATAGAAAAACTACATTTGATTTGATAAAACAGGCCTTATGAATGTTTAGTGGTCATTCTACAAAACAGTGACATTTGCGTCCTTGATTAAAGTTCCTTATACAGTATATGTTTAAAAAAATATTTAAAAAATGAATAGCTCATGGTCAACTCATAGCTCAACTTTAATATTGTCACGAATCAGGCCTTTGTGACTCTCTCCGACGGCCTCCGGAGGGCACCCTCTCCTGAGTACTAATGTTCATGGACTACATTTCCCATACACCCCGTACCTGGGACTGATTACTGGCACAGGTGTTTCCCCTTAGCTTCCCTATTTAAGCAGCTCCCAGACTCTCAGTGTTTGCGAAGTCTTGTATTGCCCCGGCTACATTTCTGAGCATTTATCCCGTCTTGTCATCTCTTGTGTATTACCTCGGACTGTTCTTACTAGTGTGATTCTCTGCCGCCTGCCCTGACCCTCGCTCTGCTACTGTTTATTCTCCTGGATTATCCCTGCTGTTCGTGACGCTGTTGACTGATTACTGCCTGTTTTAACTCTGCCTTTGATTCTAATAAAAGCTGCAAATGGATCCGCACGCCTCTGACTCTCCGTTACAAATAGATATTATATATCTTATATAACTTGTATAACTTAGTAACTTTATTTTTATGTAACGCTTTGTCTTTATTCTCTTTATTTATTATTAAAAAGTTTGAATATCAACTCTGTTTCCATATTATCTTCACCCTTTTAACAATTTTAAAATTATTTAATTTAAAAAATACATATTTTCTGTGTGAACAAGCAAATGTTTTTCTTCCTTTTTATCACTTTTCTTGCATTTTATTGTTTGCTAAATATCAGATTAAAAAAATACAATTGGAAAAAAGACTCATGTCAGAGTCAAAAAACAGAGTCATGTCCTAACATATGTATATGTATGCATATATGTTTGTGTGTATGTGTTGTACCATCTAATTTTTTTTTAATAATTACATTATTTAAACACATTTTTAGATAGAATACTATAGATATTTACTTCAAAAATCACCTTTTCAAAATGGAAAAACACAGAATGATCCTTTCACAGAATGACCCTTAGACATTCATAGTTGGCATGTGGTTGTGTAATGAATCACCTTCACATTTAAGGCCCTGCCGAGCAAGACCCCACAACAAGGTTCCACAGTGCTCACAGAATGTTGGGCTCATGTAGTTATACACTTTAAACCTGTGAGGCATGTCAATCTTAAAACGTTCCTTATGGATCTGGAACACACGTATACACATAGATTTAGTCTGGAAAACATACTGTACACACACTGATACACCAGGTCAACAAGGAAAATGTCCAAAACGCCATTCGTTATTTTCAGTGTGACTCAGTAAAGTGTGGAAAGACTGTTTTGTGGCGTCTACCAATTACTGAAAGAGGAAGGAGTCTGCGACAAAAAGATGATTCATTTTCTTAAATATTTATAATTATGCGTTCATCTGCAGATTACTAAAGCTTTGCTGAATCTATAATGAGCTTAAAGTTGCACAAAATGTCTAAAGGTCTCTGACTTACTGTAAATTCAGGGCGCAAAAACCCTTTTGTGAGAAAAACAAAACAAAACACTGTGTGCTTGATGTGATTGAATTAAAGGGTGATGAAAAAGAACCTTGTATTTACCATGGTTTCTTTACTGTTTACTGCTGAGCCTGTGCATTTGGCGATGACTTTGTCGATACACTTTTTATGGATGGCAGCATTGCATTCTGGGAAAAAAGAGTGAAGTGTGTAGGTGGAGTCCTGACACTGATTCAGTGGAAACTTGTATAGGAACTGGAACAGCAATGAGGATGTGAAAAAAATGACTTACGCCGACACTGATATCCTTGTTTATTCAGGCCCCTGAAGTAGGAAAAGAAACCATTAAGAAAATATTAATGTTATGTATAATCTAATATACAGTGCTAATTTTCTTGCATATACATATACAAACATATATTTTTCACAATTATATGTCATACATATGGTGGCCCAGTAGTGCACAACACAACAAAATCTTCACAACACAAAGGAAACAAGCCGCAACAGAATGAAATTAGCACAACACAACGGAAACAAGCCGCAACACAACAAAATTAGCACAACACAATGGAAACAAGCTACAACACAACAAAAACAAGCCGCAACACAACAAAATTAGCATAACACAATGGAAACAAGCCGCAACGCAACAAAATTAGCGCAACACAACAAAATTAGCACAACACAACGGAAACAAGTCGCAACACAACAAAATGACCACAACACAACGGAAACAAGTTGCAACACAACAAAATTACCACAACACAATGGAAACAAGCCGCAACACAACAAAAACAAGCAGCAACACAACAAAATTAGCACAATACCACGGAAACAAGTCGCAACACAACAAAATTAGCACAACACAACGGCGACACAACGGAAACAAGCCACAACACAACGAAATTAGCACAACACAATGGAAACAAGCTGCAACACAACAAAAACAAGCCGCAACACAGCAAAATTGGCACAACACAAAAAATTGTCCTATGCATTGTGTTGTGGTGCTTTCGTTGTGTTGTGGAGATTTCTTTGCGTTGTGTTTTGCACTACTGGATCACCATACATGCATGTATTTCATGATATAAATTTGATGTTGAGTAAATTTTATTACATTTATTCTATTTGTCTTTTTTTGATTCATTCAATGATTGACTGATGTTTTAAAGAGGCCATAAGATTAAAGTTAAACTGTTCACAGTTTATCAGTGCACAGTATTTTAAAGAAACTTTTTTGTTTTCATAGTCTTTCATCAAAATGTTATAACTTGCTCTGTTGATAAGCAAGGCAAAATAATATTAATATTTTTATTGCATTAAGCAATATTTTTAACATGTTTTCATCCGATCAAATCAAAATAGATAGATTCATCCATAAAATTCCACCCCACATTATTTTACGAAGGCTGTTTACAATTTACAGAGGACTGTAAAGAAGTTATTTTTTAATAAGAGTTTTGTTTTAATATATTAATATTTGAGACAGTGCATAATACCAGACAAACTCCTTGCAGACTGAACAGAAAGTCGGCTGAGGGAAAAAGGTTGCGGTAAACTCGTGACATTTGACCACATGAACTTTGGCCTGTTTGATGGCTCCTCGTCTGTGATGCAGTGCGAACACCCCATCTTTTTCCCGTTCGGTTTCTCCATTTCCTTCACCATGACCCGCAGCGTCTAAGAACAAACAAGAACCCACATGAAAACACCAAAAATTATTTATGTCCCCTGATCCCAGTTTGAAAACTCCACCAAGCTCCATCAGCTCATGAAAACATGATAACATAATAATAGAAGTAATAATGCAAATATTAATCAGTGAGAGATTGTGTGTGGATCTGAATTAGAGAAATTCTCACCACTCCTCTCCAAAAAATACCGCGCTTCCATCAGTAAACGACCCTGTGGCTTCAGTTCCACCTATATTACACAAAAATAAATCTTATTAAATAATTGAAAATATATCTGAAACATTTATAACACATCCATTTTTATCGATTTATTTTAGTGCGGGGCAACGATTAATCGCGATTAATCACATCCAAAATAAAAGTTTTTGTTTATAATATATGTGCGTGTACTGTGTATATTTATTATGTATATATAAAGACACACATGCAGTATATATTTTGAAAATATTTATATATATATATATATATAATGTATTTATATATACATATACAGTGCCTTGCGAAAGTATTCATACCCCTTCATTTATTTCACGTTTTATGTTGAATGAATGATGCATTTATATAGCGCTTTATTGTGTATTGCTGCAGCCTTATGTTAAACTGCTTTAAATTACTTTTTTTTCCCACATCAATCTACACTCCATACAGCATAATGACAAAGCAAAAATAGAACTGTCGCAACTTTGTAAATTACTTAAAATAAAAAACTGAAATAAGTACATTTCATAAGTATTCATACCCTTAACCCATTACTTAGCTGAAGCACCTTAACAGCCTCAAGTCTTTTTGGGTATGATGCTCTATATAAATGCATCATTCATTCATTCATTCATTCATGATGCGACAAGCTTTGCACATCATCATTTGGCAATTATCTGCCATTCTTCACCTCACCTGTTCACCTCTCAAGCTCTGTCAGGTTGGATGGGGGCAGATGCACATTTTTAGGTTTCTCCAGAAATATTTGATTGGGTTCAATCCCAGGCTATGGCTGGGCCACTCAAAGACATTAACAGAGTTGTCTATAAGCCACTCTTGCTGTGTGCTTAGGGTCATTGTCCTGTTGGAAGGTGAACCTTCTGCCCAGTCTGAGGTTCTGAATGCTCTGGACTAGGTTTTCATTAAGGCTATCTCAATATTTTGGTGCATTGAGCTTTTCTTCTACTCTGACGAGTCCCTCGGTCCCTGCCGCTGAAAAACAGCCCCACAGCATGAGGCTGCTACCAGCACACTTTACTTTTGGGATGGTACTCTTCAGGTAATGAGCAGTGCTGGTTTCCTTCAAACATGATGCTTGGAATTGAGGTTCATCAGACCAGAGAATCTTGTTTCTCACAGTCTAAGGG